TTATTCCTAGTATTAGTTCTAGAGCTAGGTACGATACGTATTATACCTCGACTTAAAATCTTAGTACTAGTATTAAACGGGTATATAGAGAGTGTCGCTACCGCCCTAACGCCCTAAATTCCTACGATTACGGTAACGACGAAGAGTAATAGTTCGCTAGAGCGGCGATAAGCTTTCTATTTTACGCCTTAGAGACGGGGTTTCTCGCTTTCTTCGGCTACGGTAGAGTCTTAACGCCCTTTTTACCGATTGCTATTCCTCGGAGGCCGAGAATAACGATGCTCGTACCGCTTCTATAGGATTACGTTCGCACATTACTATTATTTGCGTTTAGGTTAAGAATACTAAGACCGGAGGAGCCCTACTAAGATTTTACTAGTAATTTAGCTATTTCGTCCTCTTTCTACGTATTTTTATCCTAATATTAAATTGCTAAGTATATCGATAGTATAGCCGTTAAATATACAATCTAAGGTATTATTCTAGTTATTCTACGCCTTCCTCGCGTTCTACGCCGCAATACTAGGTCGCCTGCCCTCCGAGACTACTAGGCTCGTAGTACTATATTTCGACTACGGTTATAACGTTCTAACTATTGTCTTAAAGACTAGTGCTAGCACTACGACGATATATCGATAGCGGAAGTGTTATAATCTGTTTAGTAAGGTATATATGCCGGATCCGGATCTACTAGCGTCGCCTAAACTAGGTAAGAAGAAGAAGAAGAAAGTTAAGCGCCGTATAAGGAAGATAACGAAGGAAATAGACAACTAGTTAATTAAGTACTTGTCTAACCGTCTAGACTCGTATTTAGAAGAGATATATATAGTATTATATAACTAATTTAGCGTAGAACTATATCCTTCGAGCGTTTAGCGTACGCTTATTAATCGGATAGAATAGACTCGTAAACAAGCTAAGTAGGTCGCGAAGGAGCGTAATCCGATAGCAAGAGCCGTATAGTATACTAGGAGCTAGAAATAGCCTATAGACAAGTTAATATTCCTTAATAAGACGGCTTCTAATAAGAAGACTGCTTACTGGAAGTATAGTTAGTCTCTAAAGGGCGTAGATTGCTAGGATTTCTAGTACGCGTAGAGGCAACGACGTAACTTAGTATTGCCGGCTCTAACTATTAATAGATATCTTAACTGTATACTATACGTAGAAGGCGCCGTAGATTAAGTTACTTTCGACGACTAGCTAGAGAATAAAGTAATGCCTTTAATTAACGGTTAAGAGATAATCTTTATAATAGATAATACCTTAATCTACTATAGCGATCGGGTCGAAGAGATAATAACGTTAGCTAGCTATAGATTAGAGTATTTACCGCTATATTTGCTAGACCTTAATCTAATAGAATAGACCTTTAATATGCTTAAGAAATAGCTTAAAAAGAACAAGCAGTTGCAAAAGGACTTTAACTACTTTACTAACTTCCTTAGATAGGCTCTTAAGTATATAGCTAGCCTTAATATAACCGGATTTTTTAGGTATAGTAGATATAATATCGACGGAGTATACGACTTTAACGCAGAAGCGACGGAGCTAGGCTTAGAGTTCGATAACCTATACCTCTAAGTAGCAAAATAATACTACTATACGACTAAATTATACTATTTAAGATGCGTAATATCGCGACAATATTAAGACGAAGCTCCGTTATTAATTTTATTATTATCCGAGTAGAATAGCGGATGCTATATAATTTCGAAGTTATAGTACGGAACGCTAAGCCCCGCGCTTTTAAGCTCCTTACTCTAGTAGAGATTTCGGCGGAGATCTCGAAGGGCGGCAACGATAATTAAGACATATATAACGGAGCAATTAATAAGCTACTTTGTTTGCTTACTAATCTAAACTAACGAAAACAGCCGTCGCTCTATCGTTAATATCGCAATTATCGTTATAAACCTATTACTTCTCTACCCTCTCGGATAACTTAATCTTCTAAAAGCGCTTTAATATATTAAGCAACCGGCGTCTATATCCTTTAAAGAAGCTAAGTTCTTCCTTCTAGTACTTCTTAGAGATACGTATTATCTAATTATAGTCCTATTTCTTAGTAAGGAAGTATAACGATATCTTCTTAAAGTCGCTAACTTCTTCCGGATTAGACTATTTATATTGCTATACAGTATACCTAAAGAACTATCGAGTAAGGCTTAAGATAGGTGTTCTAAGTTATACTATAATATATACTAGAATAGGAGATTCTTCTACTATAGCCGGAGGTATTAGAACGATAGCAGGCTTAGCTTGTTATCTACTACGAAGAACCAGAAGCAAACTCGATATAGTCTCTTAGATAATAGCGCTAGGATCTATAGTAGAACGGCCTCGTTAAGGAGCTAGCGTTTAAGGGATCTCTACTATCTTTAAATTAGCAAGTATACTAGTAGAAGGCTTTAGTTTGCTACTTAGTATCTTATCTTTGTATTCCTTTATCTTTATAAATACTAACTCCGGCGGCTTCTTAAGAGTAACGCCTTCTTACTTTGTAGTAAGAGCGTAAGATTATAGGTTTAAAGCCTCTTAATAGAACTAGTAATAATAGATATCCGTATTCGGCGTATTCTTAGGATAATAGCAATAGCCGCTATAGTTCTTATAAGTTGCTAGAGAGTATATATAGTTAGCCTAGATCTCGGTCTTATAATTGCTAGATCTTCGCTCTTTAGCAATATAGGTAAGACCGTCTATAGTTTATTAGTCGTTTAGCTTTAGTTTACTAACTTTAAGAATAGCGCTAGCGAGAGCGTCCTTTAGCGCTGTTTTAAACTCGATATTAATACGGACCTTATCTCGAGCCTCGTATATAAATTTAAAAGCGGTACCGAGTACTTTGCTATAGTCCTTAGCTACGAGAGATTAGTATAAGAACGAGCTATAAGAACGCTCTTAGAACAGCCGTTAAGCTTACTATTCTGCTTCTAACCCTAATAGAACTAATCTAACTTCTTTATACTCGTAGCGGATGTAACTAGTATATAACTTCTAACGAAGAGACCTTGTTTCTTCGCTTTATCGACGGCCTAGTAGAAAGCATCTTTAGTAGGTTAAGTAGCGGTACTATACTATTCCTTGTTCTTAATCGCGAGAACCTAATTACTAGTAAGTAGGCGCTAGTACTACTTATAGTATAGGTCGTCTCGACTGTTATACGAGGCCGTCTCGATATCTTACTTATCTACTAATTTCTAGCCTACGAGACGCTATACTAACTTAGAGGTAGGCGCGGTAGGCGCGGTAGGCGCGGACTCGCCTATAGTCGTTAACTTACTAGGCTTAACTTATACTTCTATATTAATATTCTTATTACTAACCGCTATCGAGGCGCCGTCGTCTATCTACTCTAAGAACTCCTTCTACGCTTCTATATCGAATACGCGCGCCTTACTAAACTTCTTTAGTACCGCCGCTACTACCGCCGACGTTTTCTTCTTTACCTTTGCTTTTATATTCTTCTTTAGCGACTCGCGCCTTATAATAGCGTCCTTATACGCCGGTAGCTCCTTTTCGACTAGGTTATACGATCGAGATACTCGCTCGTCGGGTACGTTCTTTAGCAGTTTTAGCGCTATTAAGAGATAATAAACTAGTAGTAAATTACTAGTAACGTAGACTATAGCGACGATATATACTATCTCTAGAGGTATACTACTAAATAAGGATATCTTTATAGCGGTATAAGGATAACTATACTCTATCGATCTAATCGCTAAGAAATAGTATAGATAGGTATCTAGATTACGAGGTTCTTAGCATTCTTAACCTAAGCGCAAATAATAGTATCTAGGATAGTATAAAATAGATTAGCCGATAGATTAAAGAGCCCGACGAAGCCGACTTAACACTATTAAAGCTAAACTATATATCTCTCCCTCTAATCGATTTATAGACATTATACGGGCAATTGCAAAAGGTAGCCGCTATCGCTACTATTTCGGTATCCTACTAAGAGTATACGGATAGGTACAGAAGGCCGCTACTATAAAAACTAGTAGAGTGCGATATAGTAAAACTATATCGAGAGACCGCCGTACGCTATAGTTAGCGTATTAGTAATAATATTATAGAGTCTATTGCAGAGTTTATACTATAGATAATATAGGCGCTAGGTTTAGCAATATAGAATAAGATTACTCTAGATCCTAAGTTTTCGGCCTAGAGAGGGCAATTCTATAATCCTAAGTAAATGTATTATCCGACACTTTCGCTATCGAGAAAAATCCGTTATCTATAGCAAATTAGAGATTTAAGTTAAGCAAATACTAGCGATACGACTTTTAGTATACCTAGATCTTCCTTATCTAAGAACGAACTAGCCTAGAATATATCGCCGCTATAAGAAAGGTCGAAAAAGCTATAGATTTATAATCCCTATATTAAGACAGTGCTTAATAAGTTTCCTAGTATAGCGAAGCAAAGGACGGACTTATATAGTGTCCGTAAGCTAGGTATAAATCTCCGGAGTAGTTAGCGTATACGCTAATTAACTGCTTTAGTGCAATAATATAGAGATGTACTACGTATTAGGCAGGCATTAGTCCTTACTAGCGTAGTAAGTATTTACGAGGGGTGTCTAGCAAAATCCCGTTACGTTTAGGTTAGTCCGAAACCTCTATAGGACTTAGTGTTATATAGGAGATACTATTAGAAAAGACTAATGTTGTAAGAAAGAACTTAGTAGAGACACGGGCTAGCGTTTAAGCATAGTATAGCGATGCTTATTAATAGATTATCTATTACTAGTCCCGGGAATGCTATTTCGAATAATGTCCTATAAGCTGTTATACCGGCAATTGTAAATGCATTTATTACCGTAGGGGTAAAGCTAATGTGTGCTTTGATATTGTTAGAGGATAGGAGCTTAAGGCGAGGCGAGGTAATGTAATAGACTCTCCGACGTTAGAGTAGCTACCGCCGCGCTAGAAGCAGCGTGTAATCTTAGATCCTCTCAAACCTAGAGCGATATAAGGTAAGAGCACATGGCTCTAGATAGCAATTTGCTCTTCTATGCATATTACCGGTATCAAGTGAGCACTATCATTACCACTATAAAATATTGTCCTTCTGCGATTTCGACACACTCATAAAACCCAGTAGCGATACAAACCAACAGCTAGTATAGAGCTCACTAAGCACGACCTCGACAACAGGTGTAGATATGGAGATCCAGCGACGAATCAAGCAACTCGAGCGCACCTTGATAACACTACGCGAGACTCTCTGACCCGTAATCTGGCGTGGAACAGCGTTTCGTCGACTCATACGGACCCGCGTCTCGAAGTTGAAGGCAGGTCTTCGATTTCCCTTCGATGACGATATCAAATCACTTCCACGGCGTCTTGGAAGCAAATCGAAACACTGCAACAAGGCGAAGCCGAGAGGTCGGGCTGTCACCACGACACCTTTTTGCGGGAGTGATGAGAGCACCTCACTGGAGCGCTGCTTTTCATGCCTTTGCGCCACTATTGTGCAGAATGGCTCCGCAGCAATGCCTCGGGTAGAGAGGTGAAAGTCGTAAAGGTGGTAGCGGCTTGAGTTGGTGCATGTATCGACGCGGAAGACCGGGATAATGAAGAGCAGATTGTTGATAGCCATAGCGGGATCCTTCTTGACAACATTTGGTGAGCGGATTACGTTCCTCGTAGTTCGTGGGTGGTCGAACGATCCCCGATTCGCGCTGCAAGCTGCTGTCGATCAGTATACATCATTGAATGTCATCGACTTTTGACGCCTGAATAGCAGGAATCTGACAAGAGGGACCGCAAGTGGGAAAGGTCAACCAACGAGCCGGCAGAGAATGATAACGCGATCGCTCGCGAGCAAGGATTCTTAGATGGCTCAGAAGCCCAGAAGTCGTCTGGCGAAGGAAACGGCCATGGGGATGGGCATAGCGCTTATGACGGTGATAGTAGATGGGTGGAGGGAAAAGGTTGGATCTGGTTACGGGCACGGCTGTGACGCCGAGCTCCACATGGGGTGGCGATGTGCTGCATGATTCTGCCTTTGCTGGGCGTCTCAGTGTCGATATGTCTGGTTCGGTATTCACCCGGTTCTGCTGGGGAAGACGTTCTTGAAGGATGCTGTTCGAGTAATGCATGAGCTTCTCGGATTCATGTAAAGTTTTGCAGTAATATCGCGCCAAACAACGAGCTGCTATCTTGTGCTGTTCCTGTTGCTTTCGTGATGCCGTCCATTCCGTGCCACAGGCGGCGACTTTTCTCTGCAACATTGCAGTCAATGAACCTCAAAGGGTGGGGGTAATGCAAGTATCTGTATCGACCGCTCATACAAATTGTGCGATATCGTCCAGCTTCTCGTCTGACGAATTGTCTCCAACTCGAGCACCGCACGACGAAGGCTGATCCGGGTTTGCACCTGGAGTGTTGCCGTTGACAACGGAAGTATCGCATTGCGTGTATGCCCGCTGCCAATTCCAGATCTTTCTTCGTACTGGAACTTCAGGCCAGAAATGCGAAGCTGAGCTCGTCGTCGGCGCTCCTCACGCCATTCCCGCCTTGCCTGCGCTCTTTGTATTCGGCGATTCTCCCTTTCCTGCTGTTGAGCTCTGACGCGTGCATCAATCTCTTCGCGGCGTCTCCTCTTGCGCGCAAATTCTTCCTCGGTGTCGTGGTCGGCATCGGGCGAGGAGACGACTTCGTCTTCTTCATCCTCGTCGGAGTCGCGATCGGAGACGCCTCGGTCGTGGCTTGTGGTATTGCTCTGTGCGGACGACTGCGAGTCTGGCAACGAAAAGGCGTTTCGCATTTGGTGCGCTGTCATTTGGTGCTTGGAGTGTGTCTGCTGCAGAGGACGTGAAATGCGTACAGTCGCAAGTTGCTACTCGCGCTGCGCTGCACTGCATGGTCATTTGTGAACTTCGGCGGGTCTGTGTAACCTTTGAGAGCTATGCATTATCAGTAGTGAGTGGTATAGGCTATGGGCTCCAGAGGTGCATGCAGCGCATGCAGGCTGCGCTGCGTTGACTCGAGTGCGCTCACGAGATTGAGTCCGTCTATCATTCTGCCGTCCATCTCGGAGGCGGTGATCATGCTCAGTGCAACTCATGCTATGCCATGCCATCCAGAGGCATGTGTAGAGACTCAGTGTACACGCGCGAGAATACGATGCCAAGTTCCCGCGCCCGCCCGCCCGTCCGTCCCGCCCGTCCCGCAATCGGCCGCTTCGCTTAGAGCTCTATACATTCAACGTCGCCTCCGAATTCTTATTGATTCTCATCGCTATTTAGCCTCTCTATCCTCCTATTCTTATTAAAGAGCCTAGCTTAGTTCTATAGCACTAGTCTTATTCGATCTCTATAATAGCCGTCGTAGAGTATAATCTACGGCGTCTTTTATTAACCCCTTAGGAAATTTTATAAGCAGATCTATTTTCGGACTATAACAAGGCTTTAGAACCGATCGTAAAGAAGCAGACTCGCCTATACCTATCTAAGAAGGTTGCGTAATATTACTTAATTTTCGGGCTTACGCTAAGAATACTCTTACTTTTTAACGTCGCCTAGTTATCGTTACCTCTTCGATATTAGAGTAGCTTATAGTCTACTTAATCCTTCCTATAACCGTATAAGTCTACTATATCGACGATCTTTTCGCAGTTTAGCCTACCTACTATATTCGCTAATCGGCTTAGTAAGTTTATTATAGCGATAAGTAGAAGAACTAACTCTAGGGGAATCTAACGTACTATATAATTCGACCTTTACGAACATTTCCTTTATAGCCTTCTATTCCTAAATCGAAGTTTCGTCTACGGCGCTAAAGTGTATATATATAGCGAGATTTAGGAATACGTTATACGCCTAACCCGAAGTCCGTAGGCCCGCTAATATAATCGTAAATAAGGCAGCTTGTATTTCGGTATTAAGAAGGATATAGTTCGATAGGTATAGTAGTAGCTAGAAACGGTAATTGTCGCCTATTATTTCGTAAGAGTATCGAAACATTCTAGGCGTAGATAAGAGGGAACTAGGATACCCTTACGTAGTAGATACTACCTCTCGATAATCGTAACTAGGAGGACAACGATATAGGAGATAAGTTAGAGGAATCTACTTCGACTCCTATAGTGCCTCGCTAGCGTTAATCTAAATCTAGGTATTTTAGCGAACGTGTTACCCTTATCTATTAGTAGATACTTAAAACGGAAGCGACTAACCTATTAAAACGTCTTATATAAGTCTTTGCTAGTTATCTTAGTCGAGACGAAACTCCCTTCTATAGATATCGGCTAAGTCTACGATAAGCTAGTTCTACGCTTTAGCTCTTTGCTTATTCGCTATACCTATTAGAAGGTTTAGTATACCTTTATTTCTCTAGGCATCGCTTCTAAAATTCGCTAGGCGGAATCGGTACGTTACTCTAGTATCTAATAAGATTTAATTCTACGTTATAAAGAACTTTAGCAGTGCGTATAGTACTAGTATAATATACTCGAGATACTATTACGATTTCGAAATACCCTTAGATTATCTAGTAGAATCTAAGTAAAATATTAGAGCTCGTTAGCACTATAGAATACTCTTTAAACTCTTAGCTATCTATATTAAAATTATTACGTACCTATCGGTATTCCTAGGATATATTTGCTTTCTATAATTTTTTTATGTTTTTGCTTAAAAAGTGTCTATAGAGCTTTAGAAGTCGTTATAGTATATCTTATTCCTATAGTAAAAGTCCCGCTTAAGCTTCTAAGGTTTGCTCTTACTAACCGTCTTTAATAATAGATAATACTCCCGACTAGTACGTAGAATATAAGAAAGACTAAGAAGGTTTAATAGCGACGCTAAATACCTCGCTATTATATAGCGTATATAAGATATATAGGCTATAAATCGTCCCTAATATTATACTAGCGAAGTATAAGTATATTCTAAAGAGGAAGCTTTTACTCTTATTTAAATTGTTTATACCCTTTACGCCCTACTTTAAGCGCTCTTCTTTAAAGAAACTACCTTATAAAATAGTAGGTCCTCGGGTAATAAGTATTACTCTAGATAACTTAGATCTACTTATCTAAGCTATAGCTCGCGCTATTAAAAATAGCTTTTCGACTACTAAATCTAGTTTCGTAACTAAAGCTGTAATTTCTTACTATATTATACTCTTTATACTCCTAGTAGGATCCTAATAGCGGGACTAGACGCTATATAGTAGTAGATAGGTAAACTATCTTTATATATTTGCCTAGTTATACTATTAGTAATAGGACTCGAGAGCGCCTTTCTAACTTTCTAGTTATTTACTTACTTAACGAAAGCATTTTACGTCTGAAGAACGATGTTTCTAATAAAGAATTCTAGCTATCGGGTAATATCTATTCCGGAATACTTACTCGACGAAACTATTTTATAGCCGAGGAGTAACCTCTCCGACGAGGAATTCTAACTATAGACTAGGGCCTATTCTAGAATACTTACTAGACTAAAGTATTTTGTAGCTAATAGTAAGGAACTCTAGCCACAGACGAGACTAGAGCGAATTCGGGAAAGCTTAGTATATTGCTAATTAATATAAAGTTCTATAGCTACCTTACTATAAGAGAATAAAATAACGGCCGTAGGTTTTTATATGCTTGGACCGACGGTAGGATAGTAGGGGTTGTTGTTCGTACGATATAATTACTATAATTTCCTTAGTATATTACTTCTCTAGCTATAGATTAGACCTAGGCGAGTTTAGGAAAACTTAAGGTAATCTTAATCGATCCGAAGTTCCGTAGCTAGCTAATTAGAGGTAAATGAGATAATAGTCGTAGCGTTTTATATACTTAGACCGACGGTAAGATAATAAAGATTACTATTCGTACGCTATAACTACTATACTTATTAAAGATTTTCGCCTGTATATTACTCTTATATTACTAAAAGCGTTAGTAATAGCGTTTATAGATACGAAAGCTTCACCTCTAGACTGTTGTAGCTAGCTCTTTTTATAGTCGAGTTTTATAATATATAATTAGTTCCGAATAGCCTTCTTCAATCTACTTTAGCTAGTACTAAAATACTAGTCTAGTATATAAATTCTATACGTATTATAAAGTTAGAAAGACTAGAAATAAACGATAATCTACGTATCCTACTAGTTAGCGAAAATATTCAGCTAAAGCGTAATAACCTACGTCTAAGATTCTATCTAAGCTATATATTTCTATATTAGAATGCTCTCTAATTATAACGAGCGTTGTCTCTTTAACTAACATTAGGCTTGTCTATACGACTTCTACCTCTAGATACCGGGAATCGGTCTTATATCTATCGAGTAGAAGTATTATAATAAGCTCTAGAGAAAGTAGGCGAGGAGGTTTATTATTTAGAATTTTAGATAATACCTATTAGATAGTATTGCTTTATCGGAAGGTTAGTACGTATTAAGTATAAATATCGTAATAAGCTATAGCTAGAGTAGGCGAAGAGACAGATTATTTAGAACTCTAGGTAGTATCGATTCTATAGTATTAATATCGCGGAGAATCGCTAGGTAGATTCCTAGTATAAACCGAGTTAGGTATACTTTAATATAGATCGCTATATAATAGATACCTTAAATAGATAGGTATTAATCCTAGGTATCGTACTTTAGAGTGCTCTACTAATAGCGTAGTAGTTTAGGGCGATATCGACGAAGATAGGAGTAGGTAAAGAGATAGTTTATCCCGAAGTCTAGACATTTCCTATTTAATAAGCAAAGACTATAGCATCGCTTTATCGCAAAGTCGCTAGACGGCTTTACGCTATAAACTAAGCTAGGTATACCTTAATATAGATCGCTATATCTTTAGTAACTCGAAGACCTAGGTAGTATCTATTCTAGATATCTTACTATAAAGTATCCTACTAGGGCTATAGTATAGTAGTCTAGGGCAATAGCGAGAAAGGGAGTACCTAATCCGTTAACCGTTTCTACTAAAGTTATATCCTTTTTATTTTTATACGAAGCCGGTATAGCCTTACGAGCTAGTATTGCCCTTATAGTTCTAGTAGATCCTAGCGTTAACTTATCGAGGACCTCTACTAGAAGCACTATCGCTAATATCGGCTTAATAGCTCGGCTAGCGAGTACTCGTACTATCTAGAGTATCGATTAGTAAATAAGTAGTACTCGAACGAATATATAAACTAAGAACAACTAATTCCTAAGACGTAATAGCGAAGCGTATAATAGAAGAAAGCTAAAATATCGTACTATAATATAGCTTAGCCTATTAAGTATATAATTATATCCTAATACTAACCTTTATTAAGTCCTAACTCGTCTCTATTCTACGTACTTTAACGCGAAAGCCGAGCTATATCGAGTCTTAGATCGGAATTAGGCTCGCCTATATTATTACTAAGTCGTTAATAAGTAAAGTTTTATACTCCTATTCATTCGCTTTTAGCCTAGATTTTACTTAATTTAGCAAACCTAGTATCTTAATAACTAGTAGGAAGGCGATTTATTAATTCTAATATCTCCTAGGCGAGGGCGAGCGGCGTTTACATTCCTAGAAACGAAAAGATCGAACTAGAATATTTCGCTATAAAAGTCGAATAGGGATCGAGATTAATATAGCTCGCTACCCTTTCCTAGGATAGGATTTAGACTTAGATCTAAGAGTAATCTAGTCGTCCTATCTTCTTAACTCGACTTAATATACTTCGCTAAGCTAACGCGTACTTTCCTAGCTATATTCCGAGTATTAAGGCTCCCTTAGAAGTATTAATAGGACCTTAGATATTCTTACGAAACGATCCTTAGTACCGATACTCTCCTAGAATTATAGAGAGGATCGTAGGCAAGGAGTTAAACGATAATACTATACTTATATCTCGAGTAGGAGCTCTTAGTTATCTTACTTAAAGTCTAGAATATCTCTTCTAGAGTAGTATAGTTCTCCTATTAGACCTAAGGAAGAATTAACGTTCTAATCGAGGGATTATATAGCTAAAATACTAACTAGCGTACTAAGGATTAATTATAGTATTATATTTATAGTCTCTACTACGCGGAGATCCGGAGTAATAGGTCTTTCGCTAGGTACGGTCTAATCTAAAGTTTATCTAGAGGAGAGTTAGGTAGGCGGTATCCGTCTATTAGTAAGAGTATCTACTACTAGAGTTTTATCTAGCGCTATTAACTTATCTTTCTTAGCTATATAGAACCTATTCGTACGGAACGTAAATCGAGTTACGTATATATTAAGATAGCTCGTAAGAAATAGGCTTTACGACCTTCTAATAAAAGTTGTAAATTATTAATTAATTATAATTATATACTAAGTATTATAATTATAACTAATTATAAGTAAGTAATAATAGAATTATAATTATAGTTATAAGATTAGGGTAAGCTAGGGCAAGTAGCCTACCTAAGGCTAAGTAAGTATAATTTAGACCTACTTTAGTAAAGGAGCGATATACTGTTTCTACCTAGGTAGATAATAAATATACTTTATACCTAGAAGAACTTATATATTAAGGATACTAATATATAGCGAGCTTATCGCTATACTTAGAAGGCTAATATAGCCTAGAAAAATATATACTTATTAGAGGAAGTAATTATATAATTATAATTACAATTATTTTCCTAGGAATTATAACTACAATTACTGCAATTGTAAGTAATTATATAATTAATCTAATTAACAATTAACAACTATGCTTCTAATACACTTCGACTTGGTTTCCTTTTGTATTTAGCTCTTAGTTCAAGAATGGCTTAGTCTGAGCGTGCTCCGTATAACGCCTACCTCTATCTAGACTCAGCGATAATAGATAACAGCCCACCCACGCATTGCTTCGCTTTCATTTGAAGCAAATGAGCCCGACTGTGGAGGAATAGCATGAGCCTCCCGAAGACACTCTAACAGGCCTGTACACGTGGAAGGTATGAGACGGGCCTGTGGGGACGCATTTACTTCTCACAGCAGGTCTCTGTAGACCTGATTTGCATTTCAGCAGGCTTCTGGAGCAGTTTGCTGGTTGTCATCGTGTGCCGAAACGTTTGCAAGTTGTGCCTCTCGCTTGGCATAGATGGCCATGCGAGCCAGTTCTGTTATGCCCCAGCGGGCCTCCGATCGCTGGTCTGAAGATAGGTTGACCGTTATGGCAAATGGAATGACGAGGCTCCGTGCGCTCGCAATGGGGGAGAAAATGATATTGTGCTTGCCAGGAGCCAGCTGGAAACTCTGGCTGGCCAAAAACTGCAGCGAATGCAGCACGGATCAGCACTGCTTCAATAAGCCATTTGTGTGGTTCATGGCATGCGGAAGAACCTCCTCCTGGTTACCAGTAGTTCTTCGGTCACCGAGAATCTCGAGCCCCATGAAAGGCGTAGACAGGAGAGCGTCACTGGGTTGTATCGCTCCGGCTGCCAAGCGCACGAGTGTGGAGATGGCGAGGAGGCGGGCTTGCCGAAAGGGCATAGTGCATTAGGGATCTCATGTGATTGCATGGTCAGATGCAGCATGAGTGGGCAAGATGACTTCTTGCTTGTTCTTGACCCATGAGCCGTGTAGTGGGAACCGTTTGGTGACTTGCCCTTTGAACGATTCATGGACTCCAAGAGACATGAATCAACGGATGACTATCTCCTGTGACTTCTTACCCAAGCCATCCTCAATCGCATTCTGTGGGTCTAGAAACTGCTCCCACCGACGAGTTGGTTGGGTTACAGCTCCTCGACATTGGCTTTACTACCACTCAGGCCTGGAGCAATGGTTCCCTCAGCGCCATCAGAACTCATCGCGAAGATTTCATTACATGGCTGTATCACGGAATGCCATCCTCTCCTGTCTAAACGAGAGTCCACTCAGCGGCCCGTCATCGGTTGCTGAATCCTCAAGCTGCAATGCGGCAGCTTCTCTTGCGTATGGATCTTTATTGCACTCTTGGCCATCTTATAGAAGGCTTCCGCGCTTCTGGCTTCGATGTCTTCATCTATCGACTGTGACTTCTCCTGAATCCCCTCGTCCGAGTGCGCTACCTACGTAACAAGGCATCGAAGTGCATTGCTATTGCGTAGCACCTTGGGTTGTTGAAGTCCCAATCACCCGGAAAGATGCAGCAACGCAGCGACAATACCCAATTCCTTCCGTCTTACTTCTACCTTTGCCCTCTTCTCGCTTTGTACAACGTGGAACTTGGCAACCTGAGAACCTGAACTGAGTGGGCTGGCAGTGCCTTCGCTCGTTCATCATGTGCTCCATGCTCTTCATTTATGGGCTGAGAGGCGGTCCAAGTATGCCTATTATGCACAACCTTACCTGATGCATACCTCTAGGTACTGTCTGATCCTCTGGACTTCCGCCGAGAAGCCTGTCCTAAAAGAACGGAGCCTGGCGTGGTACAGAGACTGCCACCAAGTCAGTGCCGTGCCCCGAAGAAGAGTTGCTTGAAAAGCTGCGAGGCCATCCCACGCGTCGTCGTGCAAAGTTCTAGCCTCATCCATGCTGCCTTCATCCATGCCTATTTCACCTATACTGACTTTCTCCATGGTGATTTCATCTATGCTTATTTCATCTACGCTGACTTCATCACTACAGACCTCATCCATCCTTACGTTATTTATGCTGACTCCACCTACGCTGACTTCACCCACGCTGACTCTACCCACGCTGACTTCACCTACGTTGACTTCACCCACGCTGACTTCACCCACGCTGACTTCACCCACGCTGACTTTATCGATGACTGACTTCGTCGGTAGCTGAAATCATCCATGGGATGCTAGCTTCGTCGAGGGCTGGCTGACTTCATTAATGGTTGACTTCATCTATAGGAGATTGACTTCGTCGATAGGATGCTGACTTTACCAATAGAAAGCTGACTTCACCAAGGAGATGCTGACTCCAATAATGGGATGCTGATTTCACCAATGGGATGCTGGCCTCGGTTGCTGACTTCTTCGATGCAAATTTCGCTATTGTTCTTCTCCATTTTGCAAGCTCGATTGTCCGGGAGACGGCGGCGTAGATGATCTACTACATCTCTGTTCGCGAATATCATCAGAGGGCCTCGTGCTTCAAAAAAGCAGAGTCCCGGGAAATGGAAGATCTTTAGCACCTCCTCAAATGTGACCTCTTCCGTGCTACTATGCTTCCTCCTTTGCCCACTTCTTTCTATCACCTCCACATATTTTGCACTCCATCAAAACCGTGCCACTGGCTTGACGGCTTCCTCTTCTGACCGAGTTACTCTTCCTCCACCACATGCCGTCGCCATGTCTGTATATGATGCAGCACTATTGTCGAGTGTGACATGATTGATCTGCCATTTAGCCTGATGGATCCTCCCGAGTCTGAAAGATGGCCATAGATAGAGGGAAGTTCGCAGTCATCGAAGGAATTATGACGAAATGCCATTACGAGATGTGGCGTGCAGCTCCCCTCGTAACAGTGCGAATGGTGCCTATCACTCCTTCCCCTCGTCGCGAGATGCTCGCCCCGAAAGCTTCAGGCTTGCATTGTAAGACGGGCAGTTTTCTGACGTCTCCATTTGCTGAATTCAGTGCAAGGTCCTGCACAAGGCGCCATGGCTGTCGTTGAATACTTCAAGAAGAATGTGAGCAGGCGTCCGTGAGGTATGAGTTCTAGCGATGGAGCGGTTGGACCAGGTCTCCCTGCTCACAGCAGTAGCAAGATTGGTGGTGTCGGCAGAGTTGGGTCGTGAGGTCGTGAGGCAAGCGTGGCGTGGCGAGTCGGAGAGAGAAGACTCTGCATAGCAGTTCGCGACCAAGATGAATTTGAATGGCGTAATTCCATGCCATGCCAAAATGTACAACGCTCCGAGAATCATGATCGCATGCGGTCATCTGTCGTTGATAACTGTTGATTGAGGCCTCGCTGAGGCGATCTTAAACGTGTTGGGTAGTTGCAGAATCGAAGTCTTGAAGCAGGCGGTTGTGATGCGATACTGCTGTTTTGCAGGATCATCGCAACTGCTATGGCCTGAGGAGTCGCATAGGGCGCGCCAAAGAACTCATCTCTGAGAAGTGACAGCAGGGTCGGGTTGGGAGGTGGAGTTTCTGGCAGCATTCGCTGGCGTGCAGGCGACATCCAGCATTCCCATCCTTCCGTAGGCTCGTGGAGCTCTCTGGCAGCAAGCTTGGCTTGCATATTTTGAGAGCGACTTCGGGATGCCGTCATGTTACGCGGCATTTGCAATGACAACCACATCAACGTCATTCCTACTTTTGACGCCAACAAGTCGGGGAATGCCCACACGTCCAAAGCAATCACCAGCACACGAGCAGTGGCTGCTGAGTTTCAATACCAAGAGTTCCGGTGCAGCGTTGCGGACCAAGAATGGGACGTGAAACGGTTGGTCAGGAATACATATGTGTCATTGGAGCGCTTCCTGCGATGACATGATTGCTAAGACCAGTCCTGTCCAGTCCCGAGTGCAGTCCGTAACAAGCCATCAATGTACACCCCATATGCGCCTCGAGCCTCGCTCGTCGTGAATGTTCTCTCGTTCTCCCGAGACTTCCTTCTTTTCTTGAACCAGCCGAATGTCCTTCACTCTGCCGCGCCCACGAGCTTGTCCTTCTGAGATGCCCTAGCAGTAGCTCCGTCAAGCAGGACATACTCCAGCTCCTCCAGCTTCTGTGCTTCTGGCGCCTCTGGGGGTGCTTCTGGCTCGCTACTCTGTATAGTCGAAGGTGTTGGTTCGTTGGATTGGGTGCGTGCGCGTGCGGTGCCCAGCCACGTAGAGACAGCTTCGTAGATGCCGGCGAGGTTGCGCTTCGCTGCGTTGGAGATGAAGGGGTAGGGCTTGAGGATACACTCGTATGCAATGGTGAGCAGGCGCACAATTGCCTCGGACAGGTCATTGAGTGCGTCGGAGGCGACTTCGGCGATGTAGCTAAAGGTGTACTGCTGCGTTGCTGTTACAGATGCGTCAGTCGGAGAGTTCAGGTCTGCCTCAAGACACCACGGGATGATCAGCTCTTACGGATCGTGACGAGGCTCAGCACAACAGTGGTGCAGAAGAAGGTGAAGGCGAGCGCGGCGAATAGAGTAGCATACTCGTTGTCGACCTTGATGATGGTGCAATAGCAGCTTTGGACTTGGGTCGGAGGCGACAGCCATTCCTTGAGGCGCTCCATGGTAGTGGTGGGTGATGTGGTGGTATCGGTGGTGTGGATGGTGCGACTGTGCGACGTTGTCTCTTTTTTCCTGAATCAACGCGACGCTACGCGAGCGATTATCGATAAGCCCCGCGAAGCCCCGCGAAGCCACTCACCATTTCCTGACACATGCAGCAACAGTGTCGTTTGTGTCGCTCGGTGCAGTATTCCTGCGTGGCTGTGTTGCTGCTCACCCGGCTGAGGGTTGTGAGAATTGTCGAAAGTAAACGCCCAAAATGTCAACGCTGTAGACACATCGGTCCAATTTGTCAACCGAGAAATCGAAGCAGGGTCGAAACTGTCACTGGCCCCGCGAGGTCCCTTGCCTTTTCCTTGGCCGCGTCTCGCCTCGCGCTGTATGTAGCAACAATGCCTAACTCGTTAGTCGAAGCAGTATTCCGTATAGGCTTTGTTGGTACGCGGCTATAGCAGAATGGTACGAGTCGCTGAAAGTAGACGCCCAAATTGCCAATGCGAGGGAGAAGTTGGTCCAAATTGTCAGCCGGCAGATCGCAGTAGTGCCGAAACTGTCAGCGATCCCGCGAAGCCTCCTAGCTTTCCCTTCGGCGCGCCTTACCTTATATTATATATTATTATTATTTTCGTTATTTAAGGATAGCATTTTACTACCGCTTAGTAATATTACTATCTAGCTAGATCGTCTAAGTATAAAGGATCGACCTTTTAAAAAAGTATATCTAAATTATAAGTAGTATATTAGAGAAGTTTAATACTATTAGTAGCCCTATAAAGACTTTAATCTTTTCTTTTATCTCGCTATATACGTTTTATATAGAGTATTCTATTCGTTCTTCGAAGGTAGTATTGTATTACTACTTAGCTATATTACTCTATAGCCGGATCTAAGTAAAAGGATACCTAAAGTATTATAAACGTAGGGAATCGCGTCTAAACTATTAGCGGGTAAATAGAAGTAACTGTCCAAACTATTAGTAAGACGTTAAGTATTTACTCTATAACTATAGTATTTAATACTAGGCGACCTAAGCTATAAATTAATATAATACGACGATAGCGTAGCTATAAGTCGGTACCTTTTATACTATTTAGTCTAGACTTAAGCGGAGTAGTATATATAGAAACTATTAGCCGCTAGATTATAGTAAGTATCGGTACTAGGTCTAATCTATTCGCGGATAATCCGAGTATTAAAGCTATTAGTAGTACGGTTTATATCGTTTGTCTATACTATTTAATATAGACGGACCTAAAGTCCTCTAGTACTAAATATAGCGATAGTATTTATTATTTTATTCGGACATAGTACGAGATTAATATAGTTAGAGTTATTATAAGTAGACTTCGTAGACTTAGAAGATATATCTTAATTGTCGGCGAGTATATCGCGGCAACGTCGAAGCTATCGGTATTACGTTTTAGACCGCTTACTCTTACTCTATAGTACTTACTATTAATTAATCTAAGGCTTCTAATTAGTATCTTATAAATATTATCGAAAGTAAATGTATAGAGTATCGAGACTATAGAGATATTAGTCTAAATTATTAGTTAGTAACTCGAAGTAGTATAAGAACTATTAGTAGTAGGCTAAGTACCCTATACCCTATACTATCTAATAACTACCGGCCTAAAGGCTCCTATATATATCTTATAAGTACGACTAACTATTCGAGTATAGGTTTTAGCTAGTTTCTTAGTTTCTATATAAAGGATATTTATAAAATAGCAAGATTAGGAAGTTAGGTAAACTTATTAGTAGTACGTTTTATAGCGCTTACCCTATACTTAAATATTTAGTATTAACCGATATAAAACCTCTAGTTAGTATCTAGTATTAGTAGGAGAAGTACTAAAATATAGAGCTATATAGAATCCTTAGCTATAATAACTAGAGTATCTATAACTAAGTAAGTTAGGTAATATATGCCTAAATTGTCAGAACCTATATCTAAACTGTCAGCTCCCCTATTAAGCTCCTATATCTAAATTGTTAGTATCTCTCTTTTTACTATTATAATACTAGATAATATAATAGCCTTGCTTATTATTATACTTATCCGGGATTCTATTCTAGAGCTCTAACGTCTCTAAAGCTAGATACTATTCGATCGGGAAAGTATAGGTTACTAGGATCGTATATAGAAGAAGTGCTTTATAGTAGCTACGGCTATCCCTAGCGTAAATCGTAGCTAGATAGGAGTGTTACTAATAAAGGTATTTCTCGTAAGCCTATTCTTCCTAAACCTATTTCTTTAGAAAGCTACTTCTTATAAAGCTATTTATTATAAGCCTATACCTTATAAACCTATATCTTATTAAGCTATTCCTTATAAATATATTTCTTATTAACCTATTTCTTATAAGCCTATTCCTTAAGAAGCCGTTCCTAATTCCTAATAAACTAGTACTAATAAAGCTAGTACTAATAAAGCTTTAAGTACTTTCTACTAATAGCGAGGAATTTTCTAGGCGAAGTCGAGTACTAACGTAGTATTACTAGGAATTGTTATAAAGAGGTAAGTTTAGTTAACTATTAGAGCTCTAAAATATCTATCGTCGAACCTTCGACTAATATAGTATAAAATTCTATTCTATTTACGAAGATTAACTTCTATAGGGGAGTAAGGCTAAGGTTTTTACTCCTCCTTTTAAGCTAAGTATAGTTAATAGAAAAAAGACAAGTCTAAAAGAATTAGTAAGTCCTCCGATCCCCTAATCCGACTCTACTTATAACTATTAGTAGTATATTATATAGTACTAGGCTATCTATAGAGATCTTATCTATAATACCTAGACTAATTACGAAGTATTAGCCGCCTTCGAAGTTTAGTAGAAGGTTTATTAGAAAGGTAGGCGTATCTATATATAACGTAGAATATAGAAAGTACCTATAGTCTTTATTATTAATCTTCCGATAGTTATACTATTATCGAGATATTTAGTAGTATAGGGTACTTAGTCTAAATGCCCGTTAAGATTATACCTATTATTGCTCCGACTATATAGCTTAGGCCTTCGTAGAGTTTAGAATAAGTACTATCTAACTTTAGCGTATAACGTAGAAAGTAATCCTAGTCTAAATTGTAAGCTCTCTTAATATAATACTACCGAAACTATTAGCCGTATACTATTATACTTCCGAAGGCCTATAAAGATCGTATCTAATATTAATCTTATTAGAAGCAATCCTAGTCTAAATTGTTAGCTCTCTTAATATAATACTACCGAAACTATTAGCCGTATACTATTATACGTCCGAAGGCCTATAAAGATCGTATCTAATATTAATCTTATTAGAAGCAATCCTAGTCTAAATTGTCAGCTCTCTTAATATAATACTACCGAAACTATTAGCCGTATACTATTATACGTCCGAAGGCCCGTAAAGATCGTATCTAATATTAATCTTACAAGGATATACTTATAGCCCTGCGAGTGCTAATAAGTCTAGCGAAGCGGAAGAGCTAAGCCCTAACGGCGAGCGCGAAATAACGATCTCTTGCTTAATAAGCGATAGCACAAGCCATTAGTACCCTCTACGCAACTTAGGCTGAAAGGGCTTGTTAAGAAGCATACAATTAGTACCTACTGCGCAACTTAGGCTAAAAGGGCTTGTTAAGAAGCATTCGCATCTCTATTATTCAAAGCGTAGTCCCTTAAAGCGCAGTCCTTTAAGTTCTATCTATATCAACCTTATTACTATATTCCTCTTGCTAAGTTGCTTCTTACTTAGTGCCTTGTGTTTCTGCTATCTCTACATCCTATAAAGCTATTACTTCCTATGTCCCTATTATATCTTGCTACTACTACTACTAATTATTATAGACAGCTACCTCCTAAGCGGTTATCGCCTCGTATGCTATTTCCTCTTAAGTATTGCGATCTTTAAAGCGGACAAAGACCTTAATACTACGACGAAAGTAGGAGCTAACTCCCTCTGCTAAAGCAAGTCTATACTCGAATTCGTAATTAAGCCGATACTGCGGATGCTAATCTACGAAGCGACGAGCTAGCTACGTAATGTTAAGAATGTCGCCTAGCTAAAACAAAGCATACATATAGCGAGCAATGTAATCCTAAGAAGTAATAGGGTTTGTCTAGCTAGGTTGCTATCGCTATAGCTGTCGTGCCTGCTATACTTACTATCGGTTCGCTACGACTCGCCGGAAGAAGTCCGCATTTGTAGGATTAGTTGCCGGTAGCTGTAACGTAGGCGGACTATATGCTAGGTAGACAGTACCTCTAGGCTGCTGCTATTAGGTAAATTGATCTTCCTACTCTAGCTAACCTTACTTACCTTACTAAGGAGGAGGTTGAATAGTATACGGAGGTGCCTACTAAGGAAACTTCTCCTTAAACTTCCTAACCAAAGTCTAGACTAACAGTGTATAAATACTGCCTTCTAGTAGCGGCTAGCGATAATTATAAGCTTAAGGCGGAGCGTGCGTAAAGTTGAGAGCAATCCGATTTAGGTTAAATAGTATTTATAGATCCTACTTAAGAATCTTCTGCATCTACTTAGTACGGGTAATAGTCTAGAGGTCCTTCTATAATTGCGCTCGCTCCCGCTACTAACGCTCTTGCTCCTATACTTGCTACTAGCGACGCAGTTGTTCTTAACGCTTCTTCTATACGTCTTTACGGTTAGATATATTATCGCGCGAAGGCGGCTACTCCGCTAGGTTAGGAGCTTCTAAAGAAAGGACATCTCTAACCGGCAGTATACGCTAAGGCCGACGACGTATATAGTTAGTATACCGAGTAATAATGGATTGCTTAACTTTGCCTTGCTTAAAGCGCTTATAAAAGTCAAATAGTTCCTTAAATATTATATCTCTAAGAGCCCTAGCCCGAGAACAGGCAATATATACTAGGCTAGGAGTAAAGTCCTTCTTCGAAATGTTAAGAACGACCTAGTCTAGGGTTATGCCTTGAGATTTATAAACTGTAACGGCATATACGATAGTAACTGGAAATTAGGTGCGAACATAGCGCGTATCTTAACGCTAGTTATATAGCTACTCGCGGCGTATAGGCACAATAGGCACGACACGCTCTAGTATATTATAGGTATTGTCGGGGTCGTACTTATCGTTAAGGGTCGGACCTTCGTACTTATCGAGCTATACGAGAAGGACAGTCGGAATACGCTAGATGATCTCGGTATAATTATCGCTATTGTCCTCCTAAACAATGTCGCGTACGGTACCTAAGCTACTATTAACAACTCCTCCTTCTACCTATAGGTTTTGCGTAACTATAATGCGAGCCCTAACGTATAGGGGCAGGCGAGGATGTAAGTTGCCGCCGTTCTTATAAGAAGCCTATACGGCCTATATAATGCCGGAGTGCTTAGCAACTAATATACGAATTGGTATATTATTGTCTCGCATTGCGTCCTAGTTAAAGGCATTAACCTACTTCTTATATAGATATAGGTGTAAGGCATCTTTAAACCGGTCTCGCTTAGCCTAAGGTAAATTAGGCTTTAGGCGCGTAACGAGCGTCTCCTAGTAATCGATACTTATACCTCCTAGCGTATTCCGTAGACCCTTAAGGGCTTTACGGAAGGCATAAGAAGTAGTATCTGTGCCTTACTATCGCTAAATTACGTTTAGTTGAATAGTCTAATCGAACATCCGGTATAGACTATGCCTAGCAATGTCTTCTAGCGTATATAGGTCCTCTAATCTCGAGAAGAGAGGTCTACTACCTATAGGTAACAACTAATAGAAATCGCTAGCAATAACGATATAACGCCCTCTAAATAGCATCTCTTTACTATCTTCTCGTATAAAGCTAATTTGTCGGAGCCGCGAGTCGATCTAGAATAGAAGAGTAAGATCTAGTATTAACTTCTCGTCGATAATAATATACTCTATATCGATTAATATAGATCGGAACTAATCGAGCGCTTAACTATCGAGGGGAATGTACTCCTTTATAGTTAATAGCAAGCGGAAGAAGGAGTGTACTATACGGCCTTTAATACTATTAGTAGCGGCCCTAGTTAGCGCTAAGCGAACGATTAGGTTAGGTATTATAAGAGCTTTAGCGCCGTATTATTACTTATTACGATTAAACTCGTCTATAAGCCGCTCGAGCTCGGATAACAGTATATCGATAACAAAGGACTTTCTAATACCTACTTTACTATCGACGTTAAGCAAGAAAGGCTAACGATCTCCTAGGTTAGTAAGGAATACGGTCTAGTAGTTTACTAGCTTATCGAAGAAAAGCTTCTAGGTAGGAGCTAAGCTAGTAATGCGCTACTATAGATCTGCTAGTACGCTAACACGCTATACTGTCGTAGTTGAGCCGCGGTAGTCCTTCTAAAAGTCCTTAATATTAGCCGCCCGAATACTATACTTGCCGATATAAGCAGTCTACTAATACTTAATATCGATTTGTCGGTTGCCTAAGGCATTTAGATCTTCAAGTCGCTCTCCCGGCCGGTGCTAAGGCAGGGTAGTAGCAAGCAATGCTTTATCGGAAGCTTTAAGCTCGGGATCGTAGTATTCTTCCTCGAATAGGTCTACCGTTAGATCTAGCAAACTTACGCCTATATAATTATTAGGATGATTGTAATTGTTCTTGCACTATTTATAGGCACTAGACTACGTTATATATACTATAGGGGGATTGTCCGCATCCCTAGTATCGTCTATAAAGATATAGCCGTTCTTAAGCGAAGGGTAAGCGCTATCGAACGGATAATATAAAGCAATCTTAGTGCGGCACTAGTCCTAGTGTGTTCTATCCTCCCTATTAGGTACACTACTGTACTTTAGGTACCAATTAATAACTCGTAGCTTCGCTCGCGGGCGCTTCTTATAGGTACGGAAGTCCTACTTAGTTAGGAATTCGAACAGTGTTAGATTAGGCCGGTTAACTAGATAAGACTTAGTAAATCGCGCCTTAGGGATGCTATAGCGCTCTATATACTTTAGCAATAGTAACTTGCCCTAGGTTACTAACTCTCCTACCTCCTTATCGTATCGCTTAGCTCGAGATTAGTCTTCGGGCTTCCGATAGTTAAAGTTCTATACCTTCCGAGAACCGTTAGTAAGCGGGAGATTGAGAAGCATATACATCTCTTCTTAAGCTAATATATCGCGCTTACTAATCAATTTGTTAAGCATCTTAGCAAAGAAGGACACTATTAGCCGCGCACTAGCAGCATTAATCTTAGGAATCACCTTTCTTCTAAGCTTAATAAAAGACTCACTTCGCTTCTCTTACTTTATATAGTACTTCCTAAGATAGTCGACGGTAGTGCCTTTATTAGTATAGATAGCGATATCGTTGTTGCCTAACTAAGTAGCTTAGATTGTACGATTGTAGCCATTCATTCGAGTATCGTTACGAGGCCCGTTATATATCTAATGCCGAGGGTTAAGACCCTTCGTAACAATGCCCGTCTTATATAGATCGCGAGGGAAAGAGAAGCGGTAGGATACTAAGCCTGTGTCCTTGTTCTTACGCTAATAGTACTCGTAACCGCAAGTATGTCGCTAGATACGATTCACATTTAGTATTAACTAATACTAACTGCTATTAACTTTAGATGTCTTTATTTGAAGCACTATAGGCTTACTAGCAACCGGGCCTATACGGGTAGGATCTAGGTTTATAGCTATAACGTGCTTCGACTAGAATTGAGCTAGAGTAGTACGATCCTGCTTAGTAAAGGATTAAGGAATAGGTAGTCCTTCTCGATCCTTTAGCTAGACTAGTCTATAGTTATAGGAGCTACTACGAGCCTAGAATTCGTAACGATTCTAGTAATTAACGACTCTAAACTTCTTACTAACTAGCTCTATAACGAATTAGTAACGGCGATAGAAATAGTATGCTACAATCGCTAGATTGTCTCTAAGGTTCTGCCGAGCGGTCTTTATACGCTCGTACTTAGTACCGGTTAGTACAGTAGGCATATGCTTCTGTTAATGCTACTAATGCAAATCGGCGGCACTAAATATTAGGAAGAGGTGCGGATAGCCTAAAGCCTTAATATAATTCTCTAACTCGGCCGTCTTTGCAATCTAGTATATACGTATACCGCGAAGGGTGTTGCTATAGCGTATAATAGTAGACAGTAGGCGCTTCGCATCGTTATCGTTATTGTCGATAGCGTTGCGAAGATTATTAATAGTAATCTCTTCAAAGTCGGGATTCTACTATATAATATAGTCCGCCTTCTTACGTGTCTGCTTTCTTATAAGCGTATTAAGTGCGATATGCCGGAAGCGCGAATAGCTCGCGAATCGATAACGAACAGGTCTAGTACCGTCGTCCTACTTAATTATATACTTAATCTAGTCGTCGTATAAGACCTCTCGCGGGCGTAGATCGATATAGTCCGCAACTCCCTATAGCATTAGCGTCGGGAATGCGCGTATATAGAGCTTCTAAGTACTATTAAACTTATTAAGAGGTATTAGATCAAAGTTAGGTATAGTAAGCTAGTGCTACTAAGCTAGAGCATCTAAAGAGATATCTATTTAAGCTATAGCAAGATCGTTTGCTTTATTAGCTTTCTGTTACCGCTATAGTTCCCAATCCTAAAGAATCTCGTTTAATACGGTACGTGCACCTTTAGGAATGTGTGCTTATAGTAGCGCTGCTTCGAAAGGGAAGTTAGCTAAGCTGTCCTACTCCTACTAGGTGCCCGGTTAACTATTAGGTTGAGTGCTAGCCTGTGCATCTAGACGCACGCTCGAATAACCTTACTAATCCTAATTAAGTTGCTTAGTAGGCGGTAGAGGGAGATCCTCTTCCTTATACTCTTCTAGTGCGTTAATCCTATATATAACAGACTCGCTATCCTAGCTATTAGGCAATTGAGACAGGCGTTCCTCGTTAATAGCAATACTAGCATACTCGGGGTCGTTCTGTATAAGATAATCTAACTATGCCTTTACTACCTAACGCCGCACCTTAAAGTCTATAACGAATATCCGATTAGTCGTACTATCGCTATTTGCAGGACGAAGAACTACTGTCTTAAGGTACTCTAGTACGAGAGGGAGCTCCCTCTATAGCTTTCTAGTATCTCGGAGGAAATTAACGACGTTGTTCTTATACCGCTACTACGCGCCTTTAACTAACCGCATTTCGACGAATATATATATACGAGCGATAAGTAACTCCTCGATTATTGTTAGTGCTAGTAATAGTTCGCTAGTCTCGAGATTCCTAGGCTACGGTCTAGGATCTATCTTATTAGCGTGCGATATAAGATTAGGTAAGGCTACAGGCTTGTTATAGTCTCGCGTAGACCGGTAGCGCTTATATACCTTAAAGGTAGGAGAGTCGGGATTAGTATCTAAGTTTATATTGAACTAACGCTCCTTGTAACCCTTCTAGGTATCCTTATTCTAATAGTACTCAATCTTTTCTATATCGAGTTTCTTAAAGAACTCATTTACTAAGCCTATATCTATATCGTATAGTGCTAGAGTATATAGGTTGTCGCGATCTAGTGTAAGCTATAGCTCTTAACTATTAAGGAAGTGCTTATCGTACTGCTTATCCTCCTCTGCCTAGGCTTGTATAATGCGAGAACCTTGTCCTTCGCGGCGACGGCGAGGTGCCTATGTAATAGGCTAAGAAGGCCGGCATAGTCGACAGCTATACTTATACTCTATCTCTTTATCGTACTCGTAAAGAAACAATACGCGCTCGGTCTTATAAATGCCTACCTAGCACTACTTTATCTGTATCTCTCGCTTAAAGTTAGCTGCGGTATAGTACTAGCAAGTGTTTATATATAGTACAGTAACACGTATAATAGCACGTAGCACGTTACAGATCTCGTACTAAAACTATAGTCGCTCGTCGGGTCGCTCGTCTAGGTCTAAATTACTACCGATACTAGCACTAGAGGCATCTAGAAAGTCGAAGTCGCTACTAAAGTTATCGCTACTAGGTTACGGGTCTTATAGTAGCTTCTATATACGCTCGGCATTGCTAGCTAATATATCGTTAATACTTAGTGTTTGCGAAATATCTTCTCTAGTACGACGGCGCTAACGATAAGAGCGCGAGATACCGTACTATATAGTACGGGCAGTAGCAGTCTACGGATCGTTACTGCTATACTAACTATACAGACGACGACCGGCTGTACCTATCGAAGATTCTAGCGCTTACGACGGAAGCTACGAAAGTCGAGGCGGAGGTAGCATTAAGGAAGCATATAGATCTAGCCGAGGAGTAGTAGCGACAACACTGTTACTCGCTATAGATGTTAGACTAGGACCGATGCTCGGATTAGTAGAAGGAGATAGTGCTAGCGAAAACTAAATTAGAATAGGGGTGTTAGAGCTCGATAGAGTTAAGGTTAGACGTCTACGCTTTAAAGGAGTCTCTATCGGCGGCTCTAACTTTCTCTTCTTACTACGACTCGAGGCTATAGATACTCGGCACTTGTCGTAAGTCTTTAGCTTCTTATTTCCCTTTATAAAGTATCGCTACTTCTTCTAAATGCCGCAATTAGAGTATGTATCCTTTAGGCTATTATACTTATTATCCGCCTCGCTATCGCTATTATCGCTAGGATTAGGACGATCGGTAGGAATGTTCTTCTTTAGTAGTCTACCGCCGCTAGGAGAGCCGCTATCCGGAGCGCTAGATACTGTAGAGCGAGCGCGTGTTATTATACGAATAGTCTATACCTAATTAAGGCTCGCGTAAGTGTCGGTAAGCGTAGAGATAAGCCCGTTATATGCCTTCTCGTCGCTAAGGTTGACTATCTAGATCTAGTCCTCGAGTTACGTTAACTTGCTAGCTAATTTAAGAGGAAGGTCGAGGTTAACGCGTATATAGAAAAGCGGAGTACAGAGTAGAAAGCGAAGGAGTTGTTCGTTTATACCTAACGTAATTCTTTAAAGCAAGCGCTATACTAATTTAAGATTAGAATCCTAGAAAAGTAAAGGTACGGCTTCTTATATATAAATGCACGGACTGCTATACGTATCCGATCGGTAAATAACTATATACCTTATCGTATCTTTGTAAGCGCTAGCGCTTAGAGGGAGGGGGGATAGTCGTTCCTCCTAAACCCCCCGTCCCTTACCGCGCGGAGTGCTCCTGCCTTTGCTTACGTTAGCGCTTAGAGGCTAGGGGGATAGTCGTCGCAGGCTCCTCCTAAACCCCCTAAAGCCTTACCGCTTTAGTACCTACATCTCTTTCTAAGCGCTAGCGCTTAGGGGGAGGGGGATAGTCGTTCCTCCTAAACCCCCTCCCCTACCGCGCGGAGTGCTCCTACCTTTGCTTACGTTAGCGCTTAGAGGCTAGGGGTAAAGCCTTACCGCTTTAGTACCTACATCTCTTTGCAAGCGCTAGCGCTTAGAGGGAGGGGGATAGTCGTTCCTCCTAAACCCCCTCCCCTACTATACGGACTACTTATACATCGCCTGCTTTATTTATCGTATTCTGCTTCTCGTAGATGTGCTACTTAGCGTAGGAAATCGTATCGGCCTTAGGCTGCCGTCGTTATCGTATTAATTACTTTTGTTAGCGTAGTTTTGCTAGAAATGTGCTTAATCGACTTAACTTAGTCGGCTTCGATCTAGGTCTAGTTTCGTTAGGCTAGAGACTGCTTATTTATTAAAAGTATTAATTATTTATACTTCTAGTACGTAGATTAAACGCTTAACCTATAGCATTGTCTAAACCTTACCTCGCTACCTACCTACCTTTTACGCTTCCTTCTAACTGCGCTACTATAACGCTAGCGACGATAATAGTATATTAGTATATAAGAATTGTAGCCGTACGTCTAATTACAATACGAGCGCGTTCTTGTCTACTATAATAGGCGAACGTAAGAGGTATTGTAGCACTGCCCCCGCTTTAAGTGTATTCGTCCGAGTTCTTTACGTCTACTCTAGAATAAACAGACCTAGCCCCCTCTTCTTCTTAGACGTACGCAGATCACATAATCTATCTAAACTAAGCTAGGGTGCCGAGTCGTAATTTTAGTAGGTTTCTTAAACCGCCGTAAGCCGATCTTTATTGTCGAGGTTTCTTCGTAAGGTCTTATAGTTACTTTAGCTATTAATTGAACAGGTTTAGTAGCCTTAGATGTCCAATCAAAAAACTCAGTTCGTCTAGTTTCTATAGATATACTGCGGTATAAGGGAAGTAAGCGCAATAGGCATATTTACTTAGTTGACTTGTAATATGTCTCGAAGGGCTAGGTATAACAATATTTGACCGCTACAAAGCCCCGGCCGATTCGCTCTATAGTTTTGCTCTAGCATTGTCCTTTTAACCTACTAATCTCTATATACATCTCTTTCTATTTTACTTATCTTATACGGTGTCGTATTATCGTATCGT